TCACAGAATTTCAGAGGGAAGAGGCTGATCCTTCAGTCTTGCTGTTACCTCTGCCATCTTCCTTGTGAACCACAGCTTTCTGCACAGCACAGAAGCACCTGGCCTAAAAACCCAAAGTTTAAATCCCCTCTGTGCTGGCAGGTCCCTAATAGAGTTATTAATCCTAAAAGTGAGTGGGAAGTTGTACAGCTGTGTCACAAAATTAGGTTTTCCAGAAAATTCAGGATGGCAGGGATAATAATTTCAGTGTGATGTAAAGTTACTACTTAAAGTCCTCATTTCTGGAAATTGAAAATGGGTGGATAAAAAGTTTGCTTCTTTGCCATAACTTGTTCTCCCTTCCTGCTTTTTATAAGTTCATTTGCCAACAAGGATTAATTAAGTTAATTCATTAACATCAGGAGAAACTGTAACTGATTTGCTGCTGCATAGATTGAAGGACAATGTTGTTTTCAATATATTTTTTTCCTGCTGGACTCTAAAGGCTTGCAGTTGTTCCCAATGTTATTATTTCTTTTGTTCTTCCAAGCCTCTTGTGGGAATACCGTGTTGCAGAGAAGGCACAGAAAGCTAATTTATTCCCCATGAAGTTGCTTTGGTCTATGCAAGTCTGAAATGCCTTTTCTGCTTCTTTTCTGCTCTGGGGAAATTTATCTTTTAGTCAGAAAATCTCTTTCCCCTGATGAATGAGAGCTAGTGGCTCCATGATATTGTCAGACAGTGAGATTTCAGACTGTAGCATTTACAGTTTACTGCCTGTATTACCTGGAAAAAATTTCCACAGGAAGCTCATAATTTTTCTTACCTAGTAGGAAATGAACATATCTCACAGAAGGAACTAGATTATCTTTAAGGCCCCTTCCAACCCAAACCATTCAATGATTTCTATATAAGATTTTTCTGGAGAAAAGTGCTCCTTTCCTGCAATCCATCTGATTTCAGCCACGCTGTCATTGCTTTTGAGCCCAGACTTTTTGATAAATGCCACTCTTTGCTTATCACAGGTCCTGACACACTTGAGGATCACCTCACACATTGGCATTGGGCTGCTCATTGGATTGCTCTACTTGGGCATTGGCAATGAAGCCAAGAAAGTCCTCAGCAACTCGGGATTCCTCTTTTTTTCCATGCTGTTCCTCATGTTTGCTGCGCTCATGCCGACTGTCCTCACCTGTGAGTGCCTGGCACTGTGTCCCAGCACAGGGCAGGGGATTGCAGGAGGGGTGGCAGGGATGTGTCTGCTTTTGTGTAAATAGCATTTGAATTGTGATTCTACTTCTAAGACAGGTGGGGGGGATGAATCTTGAACCCAGAGAAGCCCTACAGTGCAAGCAGAGACAGGCTTGGCCAGTGGCACTTCTCCCTCCCCAGTTTTTCCAGTGTTTTTCAGCACACACAATTCAGTGTTACAGTCCTGGACTGGAATTTCTCCTCATCCCAGTGCATCTCAGCCATGCCCTGAGCTCGTGGTTGGACTTAGGGAGGATGGAATAATTTCTCTGGGGCTTCTACGTTATGACTCCTGCATAAATTTAACTTATTCATGTGGTGTCAGAAGCAAACTCCTGCAGAATAGACTGTTTTATACCTGCTTTGGGAGTGCTGTTACTTTGGATTCCCTGTTGGACCAAAAGGAATAGACAAATTCTTTAAGTTTTGACACCACTTTTACCTGAAAAATCCTCTTTAAAGGAGGTTCAGCTCATCTGAGTAGACTGGTCCATAGTCTCAACGGTGAGCAGCTCCAGGGGCTGAGATTTTATATTTCATTACAAATCACTGAAACTTTTGCTGCTCTGTGCCAGTCCCACCCTGGGACTGCAGCAGTGCAGGATTAGATGTGGGTGAGCTGTGTTGTTTTTATGTGAAGCAGTATTGCACCCTGCCAATCAAACTGAATAATCTGTGTTCTCTGCAGTCCCCCTGGAGATGGGAGTATTTCTCAGAGAGCATCTGAACTACTGGTACAGCCTGAAAGCCTATTACCTCGCCAAAACCATGGCTGATGTTCCTTTTCAGGTACCTGCTCTACTCTTCAATAAAACAGAACCATTCAAGTTCATGAATGACAAGCCCACTTGCCAAGAAGATTAGTACTGGTATTTTATCCATTGGAATAGTGGGGAAAATATCAATATGGGTCTGGTGAAGCTTCAGGGGTAAATCAGAAACACCCTGAGAGGGCACAAAAAGCTGAGACCTGACCCAACATTCTTTCAATAAACACGTGGCCAGTTTTGTTTATTTGCAGAATGGGAATTGTGAAGGGATGGGAGTGGAATCTGTTTCCAAATGCCCAAGTAGAAAGACAGCACGTGGTGTCAGGTGTTGGGATGGATAGGGATTTGACAGGAAAGTTTTACAGATGTGAATGTATAGCAAAAAGATCTTTGAATATAAAATCTGAAGAAGGAATAGAAATGAAAGCAAATTTTGATATAGAAAAAAAGAATTGCTGAGCCAGTTTTATTGGATAACTAAGAAGGCAAAAGCTATGTTAGCATGTGAGTTAGAAGGGATTTTTATAGCTCAGAGCAAAGGATAAATCCACCTGAAACAGAAGATGTTTTTACCAAGCAAAAAGATTTCACAGACAAACAAAAATGCCAATGTTGCAATTAAAAAAAAAAAAAAAGTATCAGAATTTTCCACTGAAAAAAACCTGAAAAACAACTTCGAGCTTAAGCTGTAACATACAAACATTTTGTATTAGAAAATAGTAACATGAATATGGTAATGTTAGTAGTTATGGTAAGCTATAGGTAATAATAAAAGTATTGATTAATTGGTATGTATTTTTAAAAAGTATATAATACATGGTAACCAAAACGAAAGTTGGCTGTGGCTAAAAAGCTGTAGGCTAGGCTCTTGTCACCCCTGAACTGCTGTATCATCTGGGTACAATAAACAACATTTTAAAAAGCCAGTCTGGAATCCCACATCCCTCGTTTTCCGCTCCTACACTCAGGTACCACACACCTGCCATGTCATGGGAAGGCTGAGAGCTGTGGATTCCTTAGAACCCCCCCACGTTTGTGTCTCACTCAGAGCAGCAGTGTTGGCCAGGGACTAACCCCGTGTGTGTCCTTGCAGATCATGTTCCCCGTGGCTTACTGCAGCATCGTGTACTGGATGACTTCCCAGCCCTCCGACGCGCTGCGCTTCGTCCTCTTCGCAGCCCTGGGGACCATGACTTCCCTGGTGGCCCAGTCCCTGGGCCTGCTCATAGGGGCAGCCTCCACATCCCTCCAGGTGCTCATGGATTGGTGTTCATTTTTATTTTTTTTTTTAAATTTTTTTTTTTTTTTTTATTTTTGCTTCTAGTTAGAGTCGGGTTTAAAGTACGAGAGACGAAGTTTCGTGTTTGGACTCAGTTTATTTAAAGTATAGTGAGTGCTACAGCACTTTTAGTTAGCAAGTTGAAAGAGAGAAAATGGAGTTCTATTTCACTCGTTAACAAGGTCTTTTAAAGCTAAACAGTCCAATTAAAAGCTAACATTTACATTATTTTTATTTTTGACCTAATGATTAAACATCTGTGACTCGCAGTGTGGCACTTTTTACCTAATTAAAAAAAAATACCACCTAAAACAAAAAAGAAGAAGGAATAAGAAGGAAAAAAAAAACCTCTGCCCCAAAACCTCCAATTTGTCCCATACCTATTACTATATTCTAAAACTCCAAATTCCAAACCCTTCACCATGTGAAATCACACACTTCTATTCAAACTACACACCAGTGATTCCAACTCCATCACTCAATTTTGGAAGCCTTCTCCAAGGCCTCAAGTCAAAAGCAGTGGTCCCCTGAGAATCAGTGCCTGACAGCACAGAAAACTCAAAATTCCCAGGCTTCAGGATTCCAACACTGATGGTTTTTGTGGTCTCACAGGAGCTCTGCTGTGTCCTAACCCTGCTCCCTGTCCCAGCTGCTGTGTCCCCAGGATGTTTGTTGAGAGGTGACAGGCAGAAAGTTTCTTGCTGTAGTAGAGCTCTTGATGCTCCCCACTCACACCAGAGCACAGACATGCCCTGGATGTGAAGTTCTGAAGTTCCTGTCCCACCTGAAGGGGTTGTGCCTGCCCCTGCTTGGATGGATTGTCACTTGCTGTTCATCCCAGGCTGCAGGACTGATGTGTTTCTGCCTCCCCACAAACTGGAAATTTTCCACAGTAGCTCAGGAGAAGTTTTTTTCCCTGCAGGTCCAAAAAAGCTGTAGAAGGAAGGGTAGGAAAAGGCTTGCCCAAACCCCAAATTTCTGGAAAGACAAGGAGAGTGACAGCTGTTGGCATGACTGGAAGCTGGCCATGTAACTCCTGGCAGGAGATGTGCTGAGGTGACCATTCCACAGCACAACTGCTCTGTGCTGCTGGTGATAACAGATAATTCTGACCCCAATATGCATTGATGCTGTCAAGATTTCTGCAGCAGAACACTTTATTCTCTCTCTGTGCCACCCTGTGGAGACCAGCATAGCCTTACTGCATGATCCCTGTGCTTCTGCTCTTCCCGTCAAAACAAATCTCACCAAAAAAAAAAAAAAAAAAAAAAAAGAAAATCATCAATTTTTTTAGTATTTCAAACTGTGATAATTTGGGGGAGTAGAATTATTCTTAAGAGTAATAGAAGAGCGAGTTAATTTTTACTTTTTCTCTGTCTTTCTGACAAGAGAAACTGTTCTTTCTCTTTACAGGTGGCAACTTTTGTGGGTCCAGTTACTGCCATCCCAGTCCTTCTGTTCTCTGGGTTTTTTGTCAGCTTTGATACCATCCCAACATACCTCCAGTGGATGTCCTACATTTCCTATGTCAGGTACTGCTGGGAAGCCTTCACCCTCCCACCTAGAAATGCTGTTTGTTTTCCTTTGCTTGGTTGGTTATTTTGGGTGCCAGAGACTGCTCACAGCATGTTCTTTTAGAGTATAAACATACTCATACATGTGATGTAAACCACATTATCTCACTGCATTTTAAGTTGCATATGTTGTGAAATAAATAGGAACAGGTTACTGGCCACAAGTCCGTGTCAGTCCCTTTGAATTCAGTGGGAATGCACAGCATGAAAATCTTCCTGGATTTTGCACTAGTGGATTTATGAAATAATAGGGACATCACCAACTGAGAAATTGACGCCAGCACCTCATTTTGGAAGAAAATGTTTTATAATTCACTGCTGTATCCTAGATAGGTTTCTTGGATAAAGGCCTGTTTTAAGTTTTGCAGTAGCACTGCCACAAGAGGCACAGGATTCGTCTCACCTCTAATTTAAACTGCTGCTTTGAGATCCATAGGCACCTTATATGCTGTTTGTGTCTGACACAGCTGTCTTAGGATGGGACAATTCCCACCAGGAAACCTCTGGAGGGATGGTTTAGACTAGACACTGAAATGTTTATAGCTGAAATTAGGAGAGGGGAAATTTCCCATTCCCATTTCCCCACCCTGCCCAAACTGCACTGTTACTGAGAAATCCTAGGCAAAAAAAAAAAATCCTCTTTGTTGCCAAGTGAGGTCATACACAGATTCCTATCAAAGAGAATAAGACTGCATCCACCCTAATTAATACTTAGAATTCAAGGTGAGGCCTTAAACCACTGCCTGGCTTGTGTGGGGTCTCTTGAAGCCAGAGGGAGCTTTCATATGGATGTGATCCATGATGATTTGTCTCCTTGCAAAAGCAAATACTGGGAACATTATCAGTGAACCCATTAGTGCACAGAGGGAAGGGATGTTCTAGATTGATGCTGGTTTTAAAATATTTCTGACTTCCAGCCATAATTGTATCCCTGTTGCTTGTTTAAAATTAAGAAAAAAAAGCAAAATAATGATGTCACTTTTAAATGGGGAATTCTGAATGTGAGCTGAAGTTATGCTGCTTTCTGATTTAACATTTTTCTTTTGGAGAAATTGCACTGTGCACTAACTGGAAGCAGTTAAAGGCAAAACTCCTGCCCTGGTTCCCTCTTATGTAAAATGCCTGTGATATGTGATGTGCCTGATTGCAACAGGGATGGAACTATGCCCCAAGACAGATGTGTCAGAGCAATATTGACCCCCTCAGCGTTTCAGCTGAGCTCTCACAGGGATTGTGTTGCACTCCTAACCAGATCATCAGGATTTTCCTTGTAATTCCTCCTTCTTCTTTCCAGATACGGGTTCGAAGGAGTCATCCTCTCCATCTATGGACTGGATCGAGAAGACCTGCATTGTGACAAAGATGACACCTGCCATTTTCAAAAATCGGAGGCCATCCTGAAAGAACTGGATGTAGAAAATGCCAAACTTTACCTGGACTTCATCGTCCTTGGGATTTTCTTCTTCTCTCTGCGCCTGATTGCCTATTTTGTCCTCAGATACAAAATCCGAGCGGAGAGGTAAAGGAAAAGCAGCTAAACCAGTGCAGTAGGAGAACTTTAGACATGCAATAGAGGGCACTTGACATTGTCTCACTGTGGCAGGCTGGTCCCCAGTGCCCAGATGCTGTCCTGAGCGAGCCCATGGAGAGCCACAATGGGATAGTGGACAAACAGTGTTAAGCCAATCAGTCCAGTTGGGTTGGGTCATGTTTCCATTACACTTTCTAGCTTTAACTAGGAAGAAGAACTAGAAGGGAATTTTTACACCACAGAATATCAATACTGAGGCAGTGTAACTGTAACAAGAAACCTGTCTGCAGGAGCTTTCCTTATGAAAACTAATTTTGGGATAAGGTCACCAGGATGCCAGTCCTGGTGGCCAGAATAGTATAATGTCATCTCTAGTTGACAAGGTAGTGAAATGCAAAATGAGGAATGCAAAGAAAATAGGATTCTGTCATCTTTTTAAATTTCATCTTTGCAGTTTTCTATGTATTATTTTGCAATTCTTTTCCACAGAATTACCCCTTCTGGATAAAAGTCTGTAAATGTATTAATAAGGTAAAGATATCTTTTTAATATGGGTACTTTTTTAAAAGAAACCTAAAGTGATTCAAGTAATTATTTTTGTTTCTGTCTGAATTTAGAATTCTGGTGCTTTACTTGTCGAGCTGGTCTCATATCTGAAAACTGTAATGATAAGAGGAAAAGGCAGATTCTGAATCTGCACTAAACCTGTGGTCCCATTTGGAAGCAGCACTGCAGTTAGACATGGTCAAGCTGTCACTGAATGGTTGAAAAAATATTCTTTTTCAGTGTCTTTAAATCCTTAGTATTTGTGATATTTTGGGATACTAGCTCTGTTCATTATCTGTTTGATCTACCTCCTGCGACTGAAAATAATCAAAGCACTCCAAGGCTCATTTTTAATTAAATTGTGAAAACAGGATCTGTCCCTAAAGTGATTGTTAAAGGAGTGCAAGAGCTGTCCATAGATCAAGCCTTGGGCTCCTGTGTTAAAACACCCGTGACTGCCTCATCCAGAGGTGTTCAATGGTATCTGCAACACACTCTGTGTAGGGCTCTCCAAAAAACACACAAATGACTTTGTACACTGTAGTCTAATCATGCCAGGCAGTTTTGTTCTCATCCCTAAGTCTACATGCACAACATGGGAATCAGTTGATCTGAACATCAATGAAACTGTTATTCTGGGGGAGTTCTGGTTCCAAGCTGATGTGAATTTTGTCACTGATTTTCAACTCAAAATGAGTCCACCATACTCACTCTGGACACCTTGGTAAGCTTTGGTGCAAATTGCCCAGCCTTCTGCCATAACTGTGAATTTATCTTGGTGTCCCAGACCCCTGGGTGAGGCCTGCACATTCTGTAAATCCATTATTCCCATCAGGATGCTGAAGTCTTGCATGTTGGAGGCAGCTCAGTGTCAGCAAACCCTTGAGGAGCCCAACAGCTCATGGCAGCAGGGTAGAAAAGAGGGACCTGGTCCATCTTCTGACCCCCAGCAGTCAAAAATTCACAAACTTTTCCAAGACTCCATGGCTGTTTCTCTCCTAGTGAAATAAATAGTACCAGGGCCAGCTCTGTTAGTCCTCATACAGCTGGGACTAATAGGAATGGCCCCTGGACTGACTTTTACACAACCCAAACCCTGTCTGGAAAAGCTCTGGCTGTGCTGGTCTGCAGATCTGCCATTTATTTGGGAAAAAAATGGTTTCCCAGTTTTCCTGGCCCATGCCCAGGCTCTGTTTGATTTACCAATACAGACACAGACTGTGTGTACCTGATAAACTCAGGACATCTGGAAGGCTTTGAATCAAGTCACATATTTTAGGAAGGCTAGCTGAACTTTCCCTGAAAGTAAAAAGTTTTTTCCCTGTGAAAGCAAAATCGATCTTTACCATAGAAGAAAAACCAAATTCCTTGCACAGCCTGTTTGCATAATTTTTGTTGCTGTTTTTTCTCAAAAAACTTTTGTACAGCTCTGCAGCTTTTCCAGGCATAATCACGAGAAGGTATGAACCTATATGGCTGTCAGATTTGAGAGATTAAGAATTTGAGCTATTCTAAATAATATTCATAGCTGTGAACAGTTTTTAAACAAGGCACAAGATTAAATCCCTTTTGCACAACGTGCCTTGATTACTTCAAGACTCTCAAAGTATTTGGGAATATTACAGGCAGTTCAAACACTTTTTGCAAGCAGACAAAGGACTACATTTGCCAAATTACTCTTAGACCACAGACTTCTGGTCCAAGCTGAGGTCAAAGAGTGTGACATCCCTGGCATTGAATACCTTCAGGGTTCATGTTTTGTGTTTACCAGCACCATTTACCAAACACCACCCTGACAATCCCTTGCAGTGTTCCAGATGAGGTAACTTTGCTGGCATTTCCACACTGGTGTCTTGCAGGATGCTGTTCTCTCCCATCTAGACCAGTTTAGTGTATGAATTCCTTGGATATTGTCTTGTTATCTGTGCCTGTTCCTCTGGTTTTAGGCTGTCTCATTTTATGTTTTTAGCCTCCAGCATGTCCTCTTGTACTGTAACTTCATGTTGTGTTATGGTAGCCAAAAATCTGCTCCTCCACGGGTGTTCCTGAGAAAATTCCTGCTCTAGGAATATTTTTGTCACTCCTTTTTTTGTTAGAGACAGTCCTTTTTCCAGCCTTCTGCTGGCAGCATTTAGCTGGAAGTTACTATTCTAAGGAATGATTTCAGACTGTAGTATCCCAGTAAAGAATTAATTCTCTGGAAACTCAGTGATACACATAGATAATAATTTTTTCCCTCCCTAGTTCACAAATTAACTAATGATCTCCCTTTTGTCACTGCTGTGGGACAGAAGCATTTAAATATCCATCATAATTATATTTTCATCTACTTCAGAGATTCTTAATGTAGTCTCAGGTTGGCTTTTTTCCTCTTTACATGGAGATAAAGTTTAACAGGCTGGTATAAACACATTCCCAGGTTAATGAGCATGCAGGTGCTCCTGTGTTCAGCAGCCCTTTGTGAAGCTCTGAAGGCCTCACTTGGAAGAATAACAAGGCCAGCAAGATTTTAAAGGTTTCAAACCCTCAATTTTCAAATCCTCAGTTTTATAGCCATATATAAAGAGCCATAAACTCTTTGAAATCAATGCCACTATTACCATTTGAACCAGTCACAGCCTGGCTAAAAGTTGTGTAAAAGGCTAAAGGTTTCTAAAGGTCTCTTGAAAACTGAATGTATGATTTTTGTTGGGATTGCAGGAGTCCTGTTGACTTCCTTGTTCTATTTTGACTTGTTTTGAGATATTGCTTTGGTTACTGTGTGTCTTAGTTAAGACTTTAGGTCCTTCATACTTTTGTTGTTTTTCATCGTGGAAACTTGCATATAATCTCAAAAACCCTGAAGGTTTATAAAAATAACTTGAAGCGTTATTATTTACAATGAAATAAAAGATTTGGAAAGCAGATTCTACTCTTAAGAAATTGAGAAGATTCCATTGTTACAGGTCAAAGGGAGTGGAAGAAGACTGGTGCTGAAATCCTCTTCAGGTCTTAGAATTTAGAGCACAAAGTACCTATTTTCATTAGAAGAGAGGAATGTGTGCACATGTAGCAGGGAGAGCTGGTTATGTAAGTGGGAGATAATGAACTTGAGTCCAAGAACTGGATGTCTCAGGTGATTGACAGCTCGATCCACACTTTTGTGTCAAACTCTGTGTTCTCTGCAGAAAGGAATGTTTTATTAAACACTTGTTCCTGCAAGGAAGTGTGGTACATGCTGACCTGTGCCACCCCACTGATCCTCACAGAGGAGATCCTACCTGACCTGTTTACACAGTGCTGGGTGGATTTTGGGATTCTGAGAATCAGGGGGAGGGCTGACAAAGCAGATATCCTGGTGGGAGTCTGTTCCAGACCACCCAGCCAGGATTAAATGTCCCATGGGAAGTGCTGTGATCAGTGCCCCTTGTTCCTGTGGCAGACTTTAACTTGCCAGGTATCTGCTGGAAATACAACACAGCAGAGAGGAAACAGTCCAGGATGTTCCTGGAGTGTGTGGGAAGTAATTCCTGGCACAGCTGGTGAGGGAACCAAGCAGTGGTGATGCCCCACTGGATCTGTTTGTGAACAGAGAAGGGCTGGTGGGGGATGTGATGGCTGGAGATCCTCTTGGGCACGGTGAACATGAAATGAGAGGTTTTGGTTCTTGGGGAGATGGAGGGGTGGCAGCAGAATTCCATCCTGGACTTCTGGAGGGCAGACTGTGCTTGGCAGCTGGATTGGCAGAGTCCTGTGAGTGGCAGCCCTGAAGGGCTGAGAAGTCCAGGAAGACACAGAGATTCTTAAGAAGGAGATCCTAAAGGCACAGCAGGAGCAGGCCATCCATCCCCATGTGCCAAAGGATGAGCCAGAGTGGGAGAAGGGCTGGCCTGGCTGAGCAGGGAGATTTGGCTGGAACTCAGGGTACAAAACTGGGAGTAGGAAAAAAAACCCTTGGAAGGAGGGGCAGGCAAACCAGCAGGACTACAAGGATGTTGTGAGGTTCTGCAAAGAGAAATTAGAAGGGCCAAAGCCCAGCTAGAACTTAACCTGAGTACTGCTGTAAAAGACATTTAAAAATATTTCTGTAAATGCAGCACTAAGGAGAGTCTCCATCCTTCACTGGATGCCATCCTTTATTTCCTATCAGAACAGCCCCACAGGGTGCAATTGCTCAGGAATTTCCGTGTGGAGATCCATTTATAATGTATGATAGTATGAAAAGCTGTTGGGAACTAGAAGTAGGCAGAAAATGACGCCGTGTCATGTCCTCTGTGACAGCCTGTGACAGGCTGATCACTGCAGTGCCACACAGCACTGGTGAGTGCAGAAATTAAGTGCTGAGTGCCACTGGAGTTAATCAGGGGCTCTGCCATTAGTGAGCAGGGGCAGTGACATTTTCAGGGATCAGCTCCTACTGCCCTGCTCTTAAATACCTGTTCCCATAACACACAAAGGGGTTGTTGTGGTGTGTCCCACTGAGTGATTTTTATCAAGCCCACATACCACTCTTCATATTTCATGTCTAAAAGTTTGCAGGCTGAGCCTGCAAACATAGCAAGTTTCACTTTGGTTCTGTTTAATGCTTTTTTTTCTGTTTCTGTACATATTTCAAGTAGAGTTTCTGAAGCAGTAATTGCACCGTAGGGCACAAAAATTAGCTTCAGTCTCTTTGTTATTTTGAAATTTTACGACAGATGATAATTTTATGCAGTTGTCAGCTCTAGAACCTTTCTTTAAGAGATTTAGATTTCTGTTGGGACCTGTTGCCAGCACTGTAGAACAAAGGGTGACCAGTCAGGATGTGTCTCCTTTGGCACAAAACATGGCCATGGCTCAGCCTGCATTCTCTGCACTGGTTGTACCTTCAAGACACATCCACCTTTTGCTGTTTTGGTTTTTTTGTTTTTTCCTTTTTTTTTCTGGGTGCTCCCATGCATGTCAGCCCATGCCTACCAATTGCTTGTGTCCCTTTTTTCTGAATATTCATGGCTGCTGTCCATGTGTGAAAATGAGCTGTTTGGGAAGGGTGCAGGATGGTCAAAGGTGGAGGGATGACTTTGAGACTTCCTCGAGCTACAAAACCCCACTGTGCTGGATCTCTGGGTGTGCTTTACTCTTTCAAGAAGAAAAAACAAAATTGAAAAATGTCTTTTTAAGCAGATTGCAAGGCAACATGGAAGCTTCTACTTTTAAATGTTGATGGGATTTTCTACTTCAGTGGCATCTGTGATGTCTTTTTTTTTGACTCCATTGTAGCTTATTTTAGTGGCCCATTTAGGGTAATCATTATACAAACTCCTTTCTGTGACTTCCCAGAAACCAGCTTTCTTGGCCTCAATGATAATTATGCCAACCCTTACAAATGTGAAGTAGTTGATCAATTAAAAAAAAAAAAGGGGAAAAATTATCTTAAATTATGGCAAAAAAATTTAAATTTGAGATGATTACACTGATATATCTTAAAAGAAGAAGATAATAAGTCCTGCAGTGGAGCCGAGCCTTTACCTGTGTCAGTAAAGATTTATCAAATACCTTATCTGAGTCAGTTGACCTTATTGTGAGATTCTGCCCTTGAACCTGTTACTGAATTATTTAACATTTGGTTCTTTTGTTTTTCAAAGCAAGAGTCAATGCAAGGTATGATTTTAAATC